ACCTTTTTATAAAACCACCAGAATTGGGAATCATTTGGTGAATTTTGCGATCAATTTGTCGACGTGAATGATGATATCGTCAATGCGGGGTCGAACAGCAGCCTGCGGTTGCAGCATCCAAGTCACAAACTGGTGAAGAGCTTCAGGATAAGAAGAGCCCTTTGGTCCAGCGTTTGGCCATTTTATCTGAGCGTTCACGATTGCAAGCTGAAGACTTCCACCGGATTCTCCAAGCGCATATTCGAATGGAGACACTCCATACCTGCAATAGAGAACAATTCAATTAATTTCTTAAGTATATGAAATTGTTTAATCTTCTTTAAAAAAGGATTATAATTGTATTACATTATTGCGTATAATGTGCAGCCTAGTGACCAGATATCAGTTCTCTCATCAATATCTGCATGGCTTGGGCAATCCCAGAGCTCGGGAGCTCGAAACGGTGCTGAACAATGCTCAGATGACCATTCCTAGAAAAGTCAACAAGCACATGAAAATTTAGCAAAGAAAAAACTTGCAACATTATGATACTTGAATAACATGTTCATGATCAATCAGAAATGGAATATAAATGAACAATGTGGAGTAGCAGCGAGAACTCAGAGGCTTGTGGTTGGTATGAATAAGGGATGGATATAGAACCTGTAACTGTAAGGCCTCTTGACGGGAGCGGATTAGCTTCCGTGAAGGACGAGTACTCCCAAAATCCATCAATATCGCAAGAGGAGGCTGTCCTTTTCTACGTGTTAAAAGCACGTTTCCAGGTTTGACATCGTTGTGAGCATATGGTGGCTCCTGAGAGTGCATGTGTCTGAGTCCATCACAAAGCTGCAGTGAAATAACTTTTAGCAATCAAAACACTTGTAGTTTATGACTAAATCATACAAAAATCAGATGGTTCTGAATGTATACTAGAACAACATAGCATAATAGTTAGATGCAAGAGAAGAAGAGAGTTACAGAAAACCGAAACAGGCTATGTCACAGAAATCAAAGATGGATTTAGAAAAGGGATTTTGTTACCTGACGGAATATATGCAAAACATCAGTTGTTGAGAATGTTTCCTTTTTGGCCTTCATCGATGTGAAATTATCCAGCAAGGTCCCATCCAAGTGAACAGGAAATAGCAAGAAGGCTTCGTGTTTCCAAGCTCCCTCTTGGCCGTCCTAACCAAATCAAAAGCAACCATACTTTCTAAACCGGACTTTACATGAAAGAACTACAGAGACCAATAGCAAAAGTACTCAAAAACCATCTATCATGAAGGTTCAGACCAGAGCTTATCTACCTTAACAGAAATAATGGCGTGATCAAGGAGAGGAAGCAATTTAGGGTGGTTGAACAATGATGAAACACGGATCTCCTCCCGCACCAACTCCAATTGCTCCTTGTTCTGAATCAGAACTTTCTTCATAGCATATGTCCCATCAGCTACACGGAAATTTCAATGTAAGTCATGGGACAAACATGAAAGAAGCTAAGGAACCAAGACAGCTCAACGAGGCCAATGAACAAATGACAGAATCAAACTCAAGAATACCATAATTTCAAATGCACACAACTTTACAAGATCAAAATTGAAATTATATCAAAGACGATTCACTGTTATCACTATTCTTTGCCTATCATCCTAATTCAACTAGATGCTTGCTCGAATAATTCGTCAGCAAGAACTTACAAGATATCCTGCGGACAAATCTATTCCTCTCCAGTCAATTAACAAATGAAACAACTACGCGAGATCGAAATTGTTTGGTCGAGAGTCAAACTGTATGGATTATGGAACAGGATTCGCAGATATCGAGCTAAAATCAAACATACGATTCCTACATTGATACAGTTTGATTCCTGAAACAATCTCTCATACAAACTATATATCTTCAAACCCAGCTTGCCTGATCTCAAAACCACAGACGAATGGTAAAACGAAAACAAATCTAATCAGAAACATCAGTTCCGATTCAATCGAGAAAAACACAGATCAAGGACTACCAAATCAGCAAATCACGACCAATAAACATCAGATACAAACCGGAGAGATGAGCTGGATCCTTGACTTTCTTCGCCAAACCACCACCTGCCGCGGCGGAGGAAGCGTCGGCGACAATCTCCTTGACCAAAAAGACGAATGCGAAACCTCCTTCGCCGAGCTGCCTCACGATCCTGAACCGATTCTCATTGATCCAAACGTCTCCTCCGCCGTTCACGGCGTCGTAAAGCGCGTTCAATCCCGAAAACGAACACCCCATGCTTCACGGCAAGTTTCTCTCTTGACCAAAACGGATCGATGCAGAAATCTTTCGATCTGAAGATTACACAATTTCGATGATCCTTCAGATTCGCATTTCCCCAGATCTCGAATTTTTTCGTCGTCGCTACTATTTCTTATTTCTGTGATTATTTTTTTTTTTATATGGAAGTGAAGCGATTTAGAGTTGAAGCATTCATGTCAGATATACGAGACAGGTACAGCCTTGGACCGTATTTCCAACTAATTAATTATTTTCAATCGCAATTAGCTAATTGGTTCGATTAAAATACCATTACGCAAAATATGTTGGACAAAATTCTACTTTAACCAGATTGAATTTGAACCCAAAAATTTTAAATATTGCCGACGATTAATATATA